AATAATTTCTTGATTAGTGTTGAGAAAGAGAAAGGTTAGAAAATTCGTAAGATAGATTTTTTTAGTTAAAATTTAGATTAATAGAATTACATGCCGAAATTTTTTTATCTTACCACCCCTATTTTTTATCCTAATGACCGTTTGCATTTAGGTCATGCTTATGCTATGGTTATGGCTGATATCATTGTCCGCTATAAAAAAAGTCAGGGCTATGCGGTCCATTTTCAAACTGGTAGTGATGACCATGGAGAAAAGATTGAAAAAAAAGCCGCTTCATTGAACTCGACTCCTCAACAGTTAGTCGAAAAAAATGTCTTGATTTTTCATCAGTTGTGAAAGGATTTAAATATTTCTAAGCATGTTTTCTACCGTACCTCTTCCCTTGAACACAAAGAAAAAGTTCAAAAAATTTTTACTGAATTATTAGAAAAAGGTGATATTTATTTAGATGAATATCAAGGAAAATATTGCGTCTCTTGTGAAGATTATGTTAGCGATAGTAAAGTTGTCGATAATAATTTTTGTCCGGCTCCTAATTGCCAATCCGAGTTACGAAGAATTAATGAACCAGCCTATTTTTTTAAAGTTAGTAAGTATTATTCTCAATTGGTCGAATATTATCAAGAAAACCCCGATTTTCTTCTTCCTGCTAACGCTAAAAAAGAACTTTTTAGCAACTTTTTAAAAAAGAGCATTCCAGACCTATGTATTACAAGAAGTGACATTAAATGGGGGATATCGGTTCCTGGCGACCAAAAAATGGTCATCTATGTCTGATTTGAAGCTCTGCTTAATTACCTTAATTCCGAGTTGGGGGAAAAATTTTTTGTTGCTAATTTTCAAGAAAAAGGAAAAATTGATAACGCTAAGGAGGTTTCTTGCGTGGCTATACAGAACAAAGATAATGAATTTCTTTTGGTTTACAACAAAAAGCACCGTAAATGGCAAATACCAGGTGGCAAATTAGAGTTAGGCGAAACTCCCTTGCAGGCTGCCAAAAGAGAAATTTTTGAAGAAACTAATTTAATAGTTGATAATTTAGAAAAAATTGGTAAAAAAACTTTTTATGTTGACAATATTTGGTGAAAAGTTAATTTTTACTGAACCGACAATTATTCTGGAAAATTACTAGTAAAAGAACCAGATACCATTAGAGAAGCAAAATTTTTCAAAGTGAGTGAAATAGAGGAAATGAATTCTCAAGTTAATGATGAGGTAACTGAATTTTTGCTAGAAAGATTAAACACTGGTGAAATAGTTCATTTAATTGGGAAAGAAATAGTTCGTTTTCATGCTATTTATTGGCCTATCATTCTTTTTGCTTTGAATAAGCGCTTGCCAAATAGGATTTTGGCTCATGGATGGTTAGTTGATTCCAAAGGGAGAAAAGAAAGCAAAAGCATTGGCAATATTACTGACCCCTTTGAATTGTTAAAAAAGTATCCTCCCGATTTGTTAAGAATCTATTTTATGGCAAAAATTAGTTTTTTGCAAGATGGAGTTTGCTCTGAGGAGTTGCTAAAAGGCTTTTATCGTGATTTTTTAGTTAATAATTTGAGCAATCTAGTTTCTCGAACCAATAAAATGCTCCATTTATACTGCGAAGGATTTATTCCAGAGTTCAAAGAGACAAAAAAAAGCGAAAAAATAGCAACTTATTATCTAAAATGTAGTTTAGCATTAGAAAGTTTTAGAAGAAAAATGGATGAATATGATTTAACCAGTGCTTTTTTACAAATCGAGCAATTAGTTAATGAAAGTAATAAATTAATCTCTGATTTAGTCCCCTGAGAATTAGCCAAGAAAGGCGATTTTTCTTTTTTAAACTGTTTTCTGAATTATTTATCTAACGGAATAAAAATTGTTGCTTTTTTGCTTGATTATGTTGCTCCTGAAACAAGCCAAAAGATTTTTAAAGTTTTTGGTATTAGTCAGAAAAAAATAAATTGAGATAATTGCTTAGATTTTAATTTTATAGGCAGGGCTAAGATTAAACTATTGGAGAAGCATTTATATGAGCCAATTAAATAGAATTTAACTATCCCTCATATTATAGTAATTTTACTAAAGAATTACATCATGGGGAATCGGCATTGTAATTAATGCCGAAATTTTTATCAAGCAACTTGCTAAATTATTCTTCTATATTTTGAAGTCCCTGACCCAAACCTTTGTTTTCTCTTTCATAATACAATACCAATTATTCCTATTCCTAAGCCAATTAGAATCGTAGTTAAAAAGATTTTAAAAGTAGAGGAAGGATTTTAGGTATCGTTTTCTTTAACTTCTTTGTTTTTAAGTCGAGTTAAGATTTTATCTACTTCTTTTCATAATTTTGATAACTCTTTTCACAGTAGGAATTTTTACTGGATAGACTAAAATTTTTTCTATCATTTTTTGTTTTTCTTCCTCGTTTAGTTTTAGTTTATTGTCGAACTGAGATATTTCTGGATTTGTTTCATAAAAATAGTGGGGTTTGGGGGGGAGGGGGTTAATTTAGTTGTTTTCCTTCTCTTTTTTAACTCTTATTTATCCTTTTCTCCACTTCATAATCAATTGACTTTTGACATATTTCTTCTAAATCTCCTTCCATAACCCGGTCGACTTTGCCGCGTAATTTTATTTTAAGACGTTTATCAACTACTCGATTTTCTTGAAAATTGTAAGTTCGGAAATTTTCTGAACGTTCAGCAGTGCCAATCATAGAGGAACGCAAATTTCCAACTTCTTTGGCTTGGTCGGTTTGTAGTTTTTCTAATAGTCGGTCTTTTAGAACAGTTAAGGCTCTGGCACGGTTATCGTGCTGGCTTCTTCCATCTTGGGAAGTGGCTGTAATGGTTTCAGTTTTGCCATTGGTGGTATAAGTATAAGTCACCTTTACAGCCGAATCAGTAGTATTAACATGTTGACCCCCGGCTCCGCTAGAACGACAAGTTTCTATTTTCAGGTTCTTTTCGGAAATATCTAACTTTATATCCTGAAATTCTGGCAAGATAACCACTGTGGCAGTAGAAGTATGCATCTTTCCTACTTTTGCAGTTTCGGGAATTCTTTGAACCCGATGCACTCCGGTTTCGTTTCTTAGATAGTTAAAAACCCCTTTCCCTCTTACAAAAAAAGAAACAAAGTCAAAATTACCTATCGAACCTACTTTTTCTTCAATCATCTCTACTTTTCATTTTTTTTTTTCAGCAAACTTTCCATACATACGATATAGATCACGGACAAATAGGCCAGCCTCATCCCCCCCTGGCCCCGGGCGGATTTCCATAACAACACTTTGACTAATACCCTCTTCTTCAATTATTTGTTCTTTAATTTTATTAATCAATCTGTCTTTTTTTACTTCAAGATCTTCAATTTCAGAAGATAGAGCACTCTGTTCCTCTTTACTTATTTCAGAAAATAATTCCTGATATTCTTTTTTAGTTTGCTCAATTTCTTCTCACTCCCTTTTGCTGGCTAATAATAAGTTCCTTTGCTTGGCACTTATCTTTTCTCCTATCTCGCCCTTCTCTAATTTTTTTAAATAATCAAAAATCTTTCCTTCTAATTCTTTATTCATGAAAACTTTGAAAAATCACTTTTTTTCGCAATTTTCTTAATAAGTAGCCTTGCTTGTCAAAATATACCCCCTCTTCGGCCAATAATTTTCGCTTAGTAGCAACTTTTTCTCCTTCTCCCCACTCTCCATAATAACCCCCAATAAAATAATTAGAAGCAATAACCCGGTGACAAGGAACTTGTGAGGAAGAAAAAGGATTATTTTTAAGAGCTTGACCGACCATCCGCGGCGAGGTATGAAGATATTCAGCAATATACTTATAGGTCGAGACATGCCCTGTTGGTATTTGTGAACACAAATTGTAAATTTTAGAAAAAGAACTTTTAACTAACTTTTTTGTCATTTACTATAATAATATTTTTAAAAACTAGAACATTAAAGACCCTTTGTTAACCCCCTTATTAAGAATCTTGAAGTCTGTCAAAAAGATAAGATGTAAATCACAGCCCAACGATTAGATAAAGAATAAGAAGCAATCATGGACAGTTTAAAAAGTCAACTATAGAGATACTTAGTTTTTTTGGGAAGCCCATTTTTTGCTGTTCTTTTTTTTCATTACTACCACTGATATACTTAATAAAATCCCAATTAATAAAAAAAGAGTAACTATTTTTCAAGGAAAGTTTTGGGGTTCTGGTGAAGAATTAGTTTGATTATTACTTGTAGTTGAATAGTTTTTTAACTGGTTTAACAATCTTTCGGCAGTTTCTTTATTATTAGTATAGTAAGTATTGCTACTTTTAATAAAGGCTAATAATTCTTCTTTAAGGCTCGTAAATTGGGATTTTAAACTAACTGGGTTAGTTTTTAAAATTTTATTTACTCGTAAAGTTAAATCAGTGATTTTCTTTTCGGCTTCTTTTTGATAAATATTTTCTTTGATTTTGGTTTCAATGGCTATTAATTGGTTTGGGTCTGTGATTTCTCCCTTTTTTATTTTTTGGAGAGCCTGTTGGTTTTCTTCGTTTAATTCCTCTTCTTCAACTTTGTTTTCAGCTAATTTTTCGACCATTCTTTGCTGGACTTCTTCACTATATTTCTTAGGGTTTTCAGTTGCTCGCTTTATCTTCAAGTTTTCTATTTCAGTCTTATTTTCATTATACCCTTTTTCAGTTTCTTGTTTTTCTAGGTCTTTTAGTGCTTGTTCTCTTTCTTTTTTGGTTCCGATTTGGGCTTTTTTTAGGTTTTGTTTTATCTCTCGAGTGGATTTTTTATCTTGATTAGTTTGTTCTGGGGATGGAATTTGACTTTTAAGGCTTAATGGTTCAGGTTGGGAGGTAGTATTAGTTGGGTCTGATTTTTGTCGCCTTACTCATTCTCCATTTTCTTTATAACACTCTCACTTATCGTAATCTTTTCACATACTTTCTCTCCATCCTAGTTCTCCATTCAAAACATACATTTGCTGGAAGTTAAATGTGTTATGGGGGTATTTAGAATTAACTTCTTCACCAGTGGGTCGGTGACTATATTTTATTGGACTTCTAATGCCATTAGGCAAGTTTTCATAAACTATTTTTCAATCCTCTTTTTCTAGCAAAATTGCTTCTACCATGTAATAAAGAACCTCCTTATTGGTAATTAACTTTCATTTGCTTTTGTCTTTAATAATTGCTTGAATAACTTTTTCTTTTACTTCTTCATAGTCTTTTACATTACTTTTTCAAATAACGTAACCACTGTCTTCATAGTCTTTTTCTAGATTGAAAAAATCCCCCCTTTCACCACTAATAATGAATTTATCTAGGTTGTTTAAAATAAAACTTCTGTTTTGTTCTGGTGTCATGGTCTATTGGTTTTTGTAGTATTCATAAACGCATTTAATCATCCTGCGCCCTAAACTAATATTATCTGGTGTTGCTAAAGCATATTCATAGATGGATCCTGATTTACTAATGGATAATTCGTATCTAACATACGAACTTCCTTCTTCGAGAATGATGCCTGCAGCGAAAGCATTTTCGGCAATTTGTCGATGAGCATCCCTATTAGTTCATCTTATTCTCGGAGAATTAAATCACTCATCTCATCAATTTCTTTCTCTTTCTAGTTCCCTTTCCAACCTTTCATTTTCTTCTTTCAACTTTTCTATTTTTTCAAATAATTTGTTAATATCTTCTTCCAAGTTTTCAACGGTAAAAGATTTTCTTAAAAATATCTCTTCTTTCTCCTCAACATTATAAGCAAGGTAGCGGTCTACTCCCCTACCTAGCACAGTAGGCGAAATGTAAACTGGATGAGTAATATTCTTTGCTAGTCCCAATTCCTCCAAAATGTTATGAAGAATATCAACTTGTTTTCATTCACCATTAATTAAACAATTATACCTTTCGCAAACTGGTTCTTTTCAACCCTGAGTAGAACACATTCGATTTAATTGTTCTAATTCCACAAAACCATCCGGTATTAATTGTTTAAATTCGCTTAATGTTTCTTGGACTTGATTTATAGTTATTTGCTCCGCATAAGGCGGAATTCAATCTCATAGTGGCATAATATTTATTAATATTTTTTTGATTATACAATATAGAAATAATTTCCTATATAATATATTATAGTAGAATTGACAAATAATATTTATTTAGCAAATGGAAACGAAGAACCAAAAAAATCATTAAACCCTTGCTCGCCCACTACTTTTAACCAATAAAAAAGTTTTTGTAAATATTAATTTTCCTTACCATAATTGTTTACTTATTTTTATTGCTTATTTTATAGTCTAGCGTTTTATAACTGCCAAACAATAATCCTTCACTAATGGCTTGAATCACCAAATCTTCGGGTAAATTCTTGCTAATAAATGATTGAACATCTATATTTCAACTTCTTTTAAAAGTGTGATTTTTGAAAAATTATTAATTAATTCCTGATCATTTAATTTATCGAGAATCCTGCATTCATCTTGGTAAGATTTAATCACACTAATTCAAAAAAGTTTTAAATCGGAGTATCTACCAAGCAAATTTAAATTTCTTTTTTCATTTCCCATAATTTTTTTTTATCACAAAGTGCAAAATTATTTTCCGTTTTTTTAAATAACTTCTTGCTTTCAAAAACGGACATTTAATTTACACAATGTAATATATTTTATTTTTTTTTAAATAAAACTACTGTATGAAAAACTTTCTAAAAAAAAGAATTAAGAGAACTGCTATAAATGCTAAAAAGAAAACTGATAAAATGCCTTAAATTTATATTAATCCCAAAAAATAATAAAAACTTTTTAAATGCTATAAATGTTTTTGTAAATAATTACAGAAAAGTCCACTAAAAGTATACCGAGAGTTTCTTTTTCTATTCTTTCACCTTACGCTGTTAGGAACATGGTCACCAATGAAAGGAACCTCTCCATGATCAGCATGCTGAAAAAGATAGAGATTCATTTTATCTCTATTTTCTTTACTCTTTCTTAACTTATATCACAATCGAAAGGAGGCTCTCCAATTAACAACTACATCTTGCAAACCATGAACCAGCAGTAATTTAACTGGTAATTGCTGAGGCAAAGCCAAATAAGGGCTAATTTTTTCTAACTTTTTCCGAGTGGAATGAAGTTTTTCAGTAATTATTTTATTTAAAAAAAACTCCTTTCAATAGTAATTAACTCCACTTCCTAAGGCCTCTTTAATTCCTATTGCTGCATCATCATAAGGAGATTCACAAATAGCAAATGCTACTTCGGAATTACCAACCCCTCCGAAAAGACCTATTCAAAAAAGACAAGTAGCTGCTCCCATTGAGAAACCATAAAGTCCGATTTTCTCCGGCTGATATTTTTCATTTACCCAATTAATAATATCTTGCAAATCACAGGCTTCAGTTTGACCTAAACTAGTTGGAAAATCATCCGAAAGCCCGTGATTACGAGCATCGTAAGAAACTACTCGATAACCCCTTTGGAGAGCCAAATGCATAGTATAAAAAAGCGATCAACGGTTATTAGTAACTCCATGACAAAAAATAATTACTTTTCTATTATTGTCATTTGTCAAAATAGGCTGAATACTAACTCCTCGCAAAGTTAATTCATCCTGAGTAGTAATAATGCTGAATTCTTCCCTTAAACCTAACCTCTCCAAAAAGTCAAAATACTTTCGATAGGCATCTGTTTTAATGAAATCCCTATTCTTTCCTTTTAATAGTTTTATTTTATCATTAATGATATCAATGGAGGTTTGGGAATCTGAAACTGCTGGAACTGCCGAAGCCGGAATGAAAATGCTTCGGATTCTCCGATATAATTTTTTAATTTCAAACCAAATTTTCGACAGCACCAGTGTTTATCTAATAGTTTTTCCTTTTTTTCTGACCAACCACAAAACCAATCACTACGGCTACGATTAGACCTAACACTACAATGGCAGCAATTATTCCGGCTTTGCTGTCACCTCCATTGCTTGGTGAGTTAGTTGGGGCAAAATTAACCACTTCTTGCTCTAACTCGCTCCGACTAATGTTCGTTTTTTGAGGATTATTTTGGAAAAAGTTCTTTAATTCTTTTTGCTCTGGGGTTAATTCATTATCATTAAGATCCTTTGAACCTCGATTATCAAGTTCAATTACCAATTTTTTTCCATCAAAACTAATGTTAGTAACTCCTTCTTTTCTCATTCAATCCAAAAGCGAAAATAGCGGATTAACTTTTTCCTTGCTAACCCTAACCTTTTCAGTTTTCCCAGTAATTCTATTATAACTAGTTTCTCACCGTTCTTCA